CGTCTTCATACACTATCTCAAGCATTCGATTTAGTTGTTAAATAAAAGTCTTCTTTCATTCAGGGATTTATCTTCAAACATGATTACATCTCTACCTGTCAATGTGTTTGCGAACTTAACAAAGCTTATGTGGCTGTGAGTGATACAAGTCTCGCCCGATTAAAACTAACACAAAATTATGAATGGACCTGCAGAACATTGGCATTGATAAGATAAATTTCATTTTTATTAAGATAGGGAATTTTTTACGGTACCGTTGCAGCTAAGGTATCAGAATTGCACACATTTCATTTGTGTGAGAGGCCATGAGCAGTTGATCTGCTATTGATGTTGCCTATGTTGGTATCCAGCTGCATCACACCGGTTATAGTTTATGCTTCACTTTTATGAAATCATTTTTTACTTTACCATTATTTCTTAGGTTTTGAAAATTGTAACAAGATAACTGAAAATGTTACTGAATAAACTTCCTTCAAATAGTACCGAGGGGGAGGGGTACTTCCTAGTTATAAGCTGGGAGGGCAGTGCGTCTGGATGGGGTCGCGTTTTCACGACTGGATTCAAAAGAGTTACTAGAATGGGGTCTCACATTTCCGGGATATTGAGGGAGGGGGGGGGAGGGGGGAACTCTAGTAAATAGGGATCTAAAACTGGGTAGATTCGCGCTTGAAAAAGTTTTTAGCGTATTACCCAAAGTGGTCTTAAACTGGTCAAAGAATAAACAATGATCGATGGGGATGACGAGTTTTCAATTTATTTATTTGTTTCTGTATTTAAATTTTCACCTACTTATTTATTAATAAAATTATCTCTTTGTCTGGTGAATCAGGGATTTATCTTCAAATAGGATAGCTTCTCTACCTGAGAAAGTGTTTTCCAACTCAAGAATTATCTATGACTTGTAAGTAGTACTAGGCATACCCAATAAAAGGCTAACTACAGTGAAAAATAGAGTGTGCAATGAGATACCTATTTCTTAAGCAGGATATTTTTACCACTCGCAGTCAGGATATCTCGGATTATCCTTGAGTACATTTTTCATTTTAAGAGAGCTTATTTTTGTCGAGAGACTATGGGCAGTTGTTGGTGCTCCACTTTAACGAACGGAATATTCACTTTTCCAATATCTTTGATGTTCAGTAAACTATTGTTACAAAGTGTTTCTGAGAGCATAACCAAAGCTCTTCAGTAGCGACCATATACACACGCATGTACGAGCGTAGCCCTGGAAATCTGAAAAAGTTATCTCTATCTTATTTTATGATTGATATCTTTATCTAGTTATCCATTTATATATTTATTTACGAACTCATTGTTTCTTCTTGATAAAGTTTCTTGTATTTTTCTGTTTACTCATTTAGATATTTATCTTCAAACTTGATTACCTCTCTACCTGATAATGTGTTTGCCAACTTAACGGATCTTCATTGGCTGTGAGTGACCCTAGACTTACCCGATTTTTACTGAATGCAGTGAGGATATCATTGTTAACATTTTGCATGAAAAGGTAATTGGATGCTGTCATGAGAACAGGAGTCGATTTTCTCTGAATGTTGTCCATATTGATAACCGGCTGTATTAAAATGACCACGGTTTGTGCTACTCTCTTAGTAAGGGATATTCTACTTTACAAACTTTGTGAATCCGCTTGCAGCGGGAAAAAAATGCTCCCAAAAAAAGATTAACTTTCATGCGATAGCCGAGTTTTCTAACAGTCGATTACTGACTGCATCCAGATCTTTTCAAATTTTATGCAAGTAACCACATAATTCAGCGTGGTGCAACTTATAATATAAAAGTACGAATAATTTTTTTCAAATGCCGACATAATTGTACGAGGCCGTGGGGAGAGTGCAATTTGTTTTCTTTCGGAATATTTTCGAGTGAAAATTCACCCCACTTTACGGGAGAAAATCATGTTATTTTCTTGTATTAATATATGTGAAAAATACTTGTAATAACCTCTGATAATTGTGCAGAAGCACAGTGCGCAAGTCACGAGCAAAAAAATATTCATTTACAGCCTACAAACTTACCTCTGCGAAGTGACCTTGTACGCACACCCACGAGTGTAGCTCAGGGAATCTGTAAAATTTATTTTTATGTACATTTATTTGCCATAACATCATTATTATTGGAAAAAAAAAGAAAACAAAAAAGGGAAAAAGCCAAGTTGGAATTTATTATCATATAAAATTCCCTCTATCTATGTGCCCGGTAGCCGGACAGGTTTTTGCCAGCTTTGTTTGCTTAGTAAGCTTGATATTTATTTATCTCTATTTCAGTCTGTTAATCTTTTTTTCTAATTTTTGTCGAGTCAGGGATTTATCTTCAAACATGATTGCCTCTCTACCTGATAAAGTGTTTGCCAACTTAAATAGTCTTATTGAGCTGTAAGTTACGTTAGACATACCGATGTAAACCAAAACCCAAAAATAAATGGAAGTGCTGTGCACTGATATTAATGAAACTTGATAATTTTTCTATTTCTGGAGCAATGAATTTGTATCACACGCATTGAAGATATTATGTTGTCAAGAGACCATGAGCTGGTGATATCTTCTTCTTGTTGTTCAAGGAGGTAGTGCATAGGCACTACGTGACCAATAGAGAAAGATTAAATTGAACAAAGTTGCTTACTTTTCATTTGTACGCAGTTTTTGAAAACAGAATTAGAAACCTTAGGCTCTTGATGCATATCAGAATTTTTGACAGGATCAAAGCCATAACATCTATATTATGCATTTATTTGTATAGGTAACAACATGATTTGGAGTACAATTTGATGTTAATAAGCACGAGTAAATTTTTCAAAGCCTGTAGGGCGAGTTCAATTTGAAGTTATTGAAAACAATTACAAGTGCTAATTAACATCAAATTGCACTTTAAATCATGATGATACTTGTTAATCATTTACACGAAAAAGGCATCACAGAAAGTCAAGACGGACGAAATTTTGGCGGCATTTGCGCTATTTGTAATTTGCACTCGTATTACAACTTTGCACTTGTGTTGCATGGAAAAATGCAAACGTTTTCAACCAATCAGACGCGCGTAATTTTTTCATGTACATGATTAATTAACCTACCGGTATCTAGTTTTGCATTTATCTGTTTATTTATAAATTTACTTGTTTATTTCTCGTTCATTGATCTTAGCCAGTTGTCGATCTTTTCAGAGATTTATCATCGAACGTGCTTGCCTCTCTCCCTGACACAGTGTTTGCCAACCTAAGAAGTCTTGATACTCTGTAAGTGACGTTAGACGTACCTTAAATATATAATCAAAGCAGGATAAGAAATAGAATTTCTCTTCAGTATACAGATATTCATGTTACATGGTGATTTCTTGTGTGAACACGAGTCAAGATATTCACCGCACGTATTTAAGATATAATTGTGAACATTTCGCATGTGAAAATAACTAAAAAATTGTTCATGACAGTGTAATAATGGCTAGTGTCCTTTTAAACGTTTATGCTAATTAATTTTTATTTATCTATCAACTTTTATTTATTTATCATTTATTCGTCAAATTACGAATTTATCTTTGCATCTAATTTTTTTATATTTATTCATTTTCTCTTTCTTTTTGTCTCCTTTTCCATTTACTTAGGTATTTATCTTCAAACAGGATTTCCTCTCTCCACAATAACGTGTTTGCCAAGTTAGCGAGACTTTATTTGCTGTAAGTGACCTTATTATAGGAAACGTTCAATAATTGCTAGAGATATTGGTAGAATATTATTATTCCTGTTTCTGAATTTTCCCTGCACGCAATAAAGATATAATCTTACTTATGAAGATAACTGAATGTCGTCCGTGGCGGTAACAGGTTGCACTAACATGGCCACGCTTTTATGCTTCACTTTAGCAAAGGAATTTTTTATTTTACCAACTTTATTTATGTTGTGAATAATTAATTTACAAGACAAAAAAATCTAATGCGATCCTTAACAATGGTGTTTAGGCCTTCTATCTAAGCTGGTAAATATCTTTCGATATCGAGAGTAAAATCAAGTCAGTTTAGGAAATAGCGATAAATCGTTGTGATACCACGTATTCCTTTAGTGGGTCTATAACAGCCATATTGAATTTCAGAGAAATCCAGTCTTTATATTCAGAAACTAGGAAGGTTCAAAATCTTTGTCAGCACCATGTGGACAAAATTTACTGAACTCTTTCTTCAAAAATTGAAAATTGTAAACTTTTCGGGCATAGCAAGAGTTTTAAACTAGAACTATCGGTTGCAGTCTGTACTTCGACAGACGACGCAAAAAGTTACTTATATGAAGCCTAAACCTTACTCTGAAAACAGTCAATTCAATTATATATTTTTGTTTTCATTAATCTAAATATTCATTTCGTCATATATTTATGTATCGTTTCAGGGATTTATCGTCAAACAGGATTTCTTCTCTGCCTGTTGCAGTATTTACCAACCTAAGGGGCCTTCGTCAACTGTAAGTGACAATTGTCGTATGGATAAAATATGACGAAATATGAGGAATTTTTTCTTCTAAAGCAATATTATCGTCACTTAACAAAGTTGAGATATTGAAATATTCAAGCGTGTCTTAAATCAAGGACGAAGATACCACATACGCACATACGCAAGAATCTACCTCCGGAAATCTAACTTTAATTTGCTTGCAGCAATTTTAATAAATGGAATGAGAACTTTATCTACATCAATGTCTGAGTATTATACTCAACTTTGCCAACTGATGAGGGCATTCATACAAGCCTAAGGTTTAAATGCTGAAAGTCAGATAGTTCTTTTTAAGTGCACTGAAAATATCTCGGAAGTATCATTAAGGAAAAAACATGGTCCACTAGGTTTTTTTCTTCTTGACAAGAAGCAGCACGCACGTTATATTGGCCGACAGTTCATTGAAACTTTGATTTATGCTATGACCTCTCTATCGATCTATTTACCTATTTACACGGGTCATTATTCATTTATTTTGAATTGATTTATTTAGGGATTTATCTTCAAACATGATCACCTCTCTTCCTGATAAAGTGTTAGCGAACGTGAAATATCTTTGGTACCTGTAAGTGACAAGGGAGACTGGAGCCCATCATGGAAAGCGCAACACTAATTAACAAACAGATTCCAAGTTTCCGTGCGTCTGTTCAGTAATAGATCACAGATGACGTCAAAATGTGGTAAGAACAAAAAAGTGGCACACGAGGCGCAGCTCATTTTGACGTCCTCTGTGATCTATTACTGAACAGGCGCACGGCAATTTGGAATCTATTTGTTTTATATAATAAAGAATTTTAGAAAGTTTTAATGATGACGTCATCTATACGTCTGTCCTCCAATAGATCATAACTGAGAACCAATCAGAATGCATGCATAACAGAGCTTATTATATAAATTGTATTGCCACACACCTGTACATAGATATTGATGAAATATGTTGATTTTTCTTCTTCCCTGCGATGATATTTGAGGGTTTTCCATCATCACTCGCACATGCGCATTAAGAAGAGACAAAATAACGACTTTAGTCTAAGATGTGACTCTCACGGTGGATATTTACGCAGTAAAGGTTTTATTACTGTCAAAATTCGGCACGGGTCTGAAATCTTGGAAATATTCGGGAAACAGCTTTAGAAAAAAAACACTATACTTACTTTTTATTAATAAAGTATCTTTTTTCGTGAGGTGTAGATACCATAACATCAAGGTTCCTCCATTCTATAGTTTTGATGAAGCTACTTTGTTTTAGATTACTAAATGATAATCGGTTACAGCATGTGCCATATCAAGCCTTCTATCACATGAACCATTTAAAACTGCTGTAAGTAAACAAAAAGGTAGATGTACCAACAAAATTTGTCTTTTTTGCCATATGATTTGTTTTTAAAACTAAAGTCCATGTTTTCCAAAGGTGCCTCTCGGTAAAAGGAAAATGTTGCTTGATAAAAACATAGCATATTACGAGATGTGATGTTCATGTTTTCTTTGACGTTTTTAACCTTAACAGTAGGAAGTAAGATTTAATCCATCTTTACAACTTGCATTTCGAGAAAGAAAGAAAAAATGATAGAATGAGAGCAAAACCGAAATCCTTTCCCTTTTTTAATCCATTCGCCATTGACCAATTAAAACGAGATATTTTTTCAGTGAGAACATCATCTGGTAAATTCTTAAAATCTTAACACCTTTGAGAATGTTACTTTCATTCCAGAACACTGTCTGACAATCCGATAGAAAAAATTGAGCCGAAGGCATTTGGTCTCTCTTATCATGAATTAAAAATGTGAGTCGTCACTTGATTCTTTTATATTATGAAAGTTGAAATGCACCTAAAGTATATAAACTATCTCGCAAATCAGTCATTTGCTTAAGCCTCCAGTTTCTGTAAATAATCTATTCTCGCATCTGGTATATAACGATGTTTTCAAGCCCAACCTAGTCCAATAATTATACATTATTCTTCACGCCACCGATAATATCACAAAGTGAGAGTCTATTTTGCTGAATAGTATCTATTTATTCATTTACTCACTTTATTTTTACAACAGATTTCTTCTACGAACTTCATTGAAAACGATTGCCTCTGACATCTTTTCAAGCAATCACCCTCAAGATTTTCGAATGTAAGGCATTTTTATTGATTAAGTGATGATCTTTGATGATTGGGAACATGCCAGTCAGCGAGTATGATACAATTCGATAATTTTAAAAATTCTTTCTTGTTGTTACAGAACTTTGACGAACAGAATCACCAGGGTGATAGACTACAATTACCCATCTGGCAACGGGAAGCACGCCTTGTATCTGTCAGTATGATTAGTTGTAGGACACTGCATGGGCCAGGATGCATAAATCAGATAATATAAAAGTACACCTCGTATATCTCGTTAAAATTGTGTTTAGTCACGTAATCAATCTACAGTTGGCCTTTGAATATCACTCTATAATCTTATTTTGCTTCAATAACGAATCATACTGACATAGGTAATTTATGTAATTGGCCTGGGTGACGTGAGAATCAAAGCGGTTCCTCCTCCCTTGACAGATCCTCCTTCAAGGAACTGTCATGTCCTAGGGTAAATTTAATTGAATAGACGGTTTATTCATTGCAAATCCTAACCGAATACTACCGAAAGCTGTGTTTGGAGGCTTAGCTATATGGCTTTGACCCCCTTAATGAAGATTATGAAAGGATTGTGTGGCTAACAATATAACCGACTATTAAAGTTCTATACAATTTAGCGTGCCCTCGAAGATATTTCATTCTGTTCTTGTAATAGAACTGTTGACATTGAAATTACCATTTTGGAAAAGAGCCTGAGCTTGTTGGGGTCTTTAAACACTACTGATTTATAATTTTTCCTCAGCAATCCTCTTGAAACACGCGACGAAGCCATCACAGTTCCTTCAACAGTGTCTCCATCTGTTATATCTTTTCTACATAAAGTGGGATTCAGAAAGACAGCCTCTGAAAGTAACTACTTCATATTTCTACCCTGTCCTTTGGGTACATTTTCACATCACGCCTTGTTTACCTCGGAACTAGATTCAGATATCTGCTCAGATTGTCCACCAGGTATGCTATCTTTGATTACAGAGAGCACTTAAAGAAAATGTGTAAATTTAATTAGAGTTGTGTCTGCTTCACTATAGTTAACACCACGACAAAAGAAAATACAGTAGGTTGCATGAATGCCTTTATGCATTTTATACATATGCGTATATACGGGAACAATATGGTGTCTGCACGGGTGCAGTTACTAGAAGCTACACTAGCCATGATGTTTGCCTCCGATTTCATGTCTCTGGCGTTGGAACTTTCTTCAAAGAGGACCAAATACCTCGCAATGCGGCAGTGTGAAATTCTTGGCTTAGAATTTAACCGACTGGTCAACAGTCGAGATTCTATTAAAGTTTAGAGCATGAAGCAACATGATTGACTCACATGGCAGAGTAACCTCTTTACAAAGAATCAAGGAAAGTCATCCCTTTAAAAGCGTTTCAAACGGTTGAATCTTGTATGCGTTGGTCCAGCTATGACATATCTCTTCAAGCTAACACGAAATAAGTCTCAATGATATTTGCTTTTAAATGGTTAAGAATTTGAACTGCGGATAAAGACGTTAATGAAAGTGATCCTCGCAGTAATGTGCACTACTTAGGCAGTAGTGAAAATAAGGCCTGAAAAAAATTCAGGCCTGAATTTTTTTCAGGCCTTATTTTCACTACTGCCTAAGTAGTGCACATTACTGCGAGGATCACTTTCATTAACGATATTTGCTTTTGTTGTGGTAGAAAGAATATGTACTTGTCAGACTGAGTGGCTGAGCTGGACGAGAAATTATTTGGCTCGAGATCATGACGTGCAGACCTAGCGCAGCAACAAAACAAAAACGACCGTGAAAGCAAAATGAAAAACAAACGAAAAAACAAGTTAACTTGTCAGCTAGGGGTGGTAGCCAGTGATTTTCTATTTTCAGGTGGATTTTACTCTGATAATCTTGCCTTTGTGGCGAAAGGCTGTAAGAAATGTCCGAATGGGTCTTACGTTGCATATGACAAGAAACCTGGAAAATCAGTGTTAGATTGCAAGACTTGTCCTCTGGGTAAGCAAGCACCGATTACGTACCTTTACATAGAAGAGATGCCTTATGGTAGAATTTATTCAAGGCATATACCCAACCAAGTGATTTATAGTCTCTTGACCCAACGTGTAAGGTTGCAAAAGATATTCCAGTAGCTCTTCAGAGATTTAAGGCCTCTCTTTAGTCGAAAGATAGAGAGTTTTCAAACGAGAATAAGAGAATATAATTTGAAACCGTGCATGGGAAAATATATTATATCGCTTTTCCGTTCAACAGCCAAATTTTCTGAGCATCCGTTGCCCATCCGTTAGAGATTTTCCTCTCAAACGATAGAGGCGTTAGCCTTTCCTTCGAACGCTTACAGATGTCCGTTAGAGCCGTTAGCGTAGCTGTTATGAAAAATGTTGTTCTTAATTGTTGTTCATTGAAGTTTTATTGGTAAATTGACTTTTCATCGTTTGTTTTAAGATGTAAGAATCAGGCTAATTAATCATGCATTGATCACGACGTTTCGATTACGTTTCTTCGCCTAGGTCGCCCGACGTAGACTAGCAGTCGAAACGTTGCGATCATTACACAGTTGATTAGCCTCACTATTTCATCGTGCGACACACCATAAAACGTTCATTTATTTATTAGTCTAATGGTAAACAGAACATTGATCAGATTTAGATTTGGCCCAGTAATGGCCGTAAGCAAATTATGAAAATAGCAACTTAAAATCAATGGATTGGATGTGGGAGGAAGCAAACGCCCTGAGTTTCAAACGTTGAGCATAAGCTATGCATAACGTAGTAATTCATGTAAATCATTCATGTAAATTTTAAAATCTGTATATAACCACATTTATAATCTTATTTTGCGATGTACAAAGGCTTATATAATATTGTTATAACTATTGCTATTAGTTTGTTTTGTTTTTTTGAGGGCCATTAGGTTATCAGTTTTATTACTGTCAAATGTTACCCTCATTAAATAAAGTCTTACCTACCTACCTGCCTACATGGGTATGCAGTCTGTGTTAATCACTTAATTTAGTTCTATGCCGAAGTTTTAAGATATCATAACCGGCTTGAACAAAAACTTCAAAACTATTTAACGATCCATTCCTCTATTAGGAACCGAAACTGACTTTTTCGCTGGACATCGAGCTTGTCCATGCTTAAAAGGTCATTATCGAACCCACCTATTTGAGGGATGTCGCGAATGTGGTAAAGATGGACTTGTTTGCCAGAAAGAATATGCCTCTTTGAGACCTGGTTATTGGTGGCAATGGCGTAACGATTCTTACAAACGTCGTTATCAAGATTTTATAAAAAATCTCGTGGAATCTAAACCAGCATTAGATGAGCATTCTGTGCAGTATCCTTATGCACTCCCAACGCCGTATAGGTGCCAAGTACCAGAGTCCTGTAAGGGTGGATTGGACTCACCATGTGCAGATGGATATGAGGGACCTATTTGCTCTGTATGCACCTCAGGATACTACAAGCAATTCCACAGATGCAAAAAATGCCCATCAAAATCATGGATCGTGGGACAGTTATCTCTTGTTGCTGTCATTTTATTAATAACATTTTCTCTGTTGGCATGGAAGAGGAAAACGAAGCTTAAAACAGAGCGTGCTCTCGATCTTATGGACAAATCCTTATCCAAATTTAAAATCTTGATAGGATTTTACCAAGTCACTCATGGCTTACTAGACGTTTTCTCTTATATCAGCTGGCCAGACTCGTTAGAAGTTGTTGCAAGGTATTCAGGAATACTGCAGATGAATTTGCTTCAGGTGGCACCCATTCACTGCCTTTTTCCAGGATTACACATGAACGCATTTGGAGACTTGTTTCTAATCTTGTCATTGAATGCAATTGTCATCATCGCTTCGGGTTTGATCTTTGACATTCGCAAGATGATTATCTTTGGCAATAAAAGCTTACTTGACGAAGAAAAGTTAGCCAAAACTTCACAACTGAAAGAAATCGTGTTCAAAAATCTGTTTTTCGTCCTTTATGTGACTTATTTGACTTCGTTTTCAAAGACAGCCAGTGTTCTGCCACTTGCTTGCCGTAAACTGTGCAAGGACAAAAAAGAACAGCTGTGCAACGAGTACCTCAAAGCAGACTACAGCGTGAAATGCCAAGGCCAAACATATGACCAATTGCTGATTGTAGCCTACATTTCCATTGCGTACATCTTTGCCCTACCTGCTGCGTCTTTTGTCGCCCTTTGGAGGCATCGGCGAGCAATATCAACCACAGTAAACTGTGATGGGTCACACGTTGACAAGGAAACCGTTGGAGGACTGCGGTTTCTTTTCGAAAACTACAAACCGTGCTCATGGTATTGGGAGCTGGTTGAAATGTCTCGGAGAGTAATTCTTACCTCTGGCCTTATTCTCGTGGGTCATGAAAGCAGGTCCTACATTGGTCTGGCATGGGTCGTGGCTGGTGTGTATGGAATTCATTTCTCTTGGATGAGACCCATACAGGACCCATTCGAAAACAGATTAATGACCACTTCCCTCGCCGTTACAGTTGTCAACTTAGGTATCGGTGCTGTCAGCAAAATTCCAGCAGAAAATATATCGAACGCCGAGGATAAACACATGGATGCCATTTCAATGAAGATACTGATTCTTGGAGCAAATACTCTCGTGATTGGGCTTCTCGTTGGTAAGAAGTAGTAATAAGTACTCTTATTTTATGCACTAAATATTTGAATCGTAATATCTCTTTTTGCTCGCCAATTTGCACATGACTAAGTGGATAAAGCAGTATTAAAGTTTTTGTTTTTTGATCAGAAATAACCCTTATATAACCCTTATATTAATTTTACCTTTGCTGTTGGTTGAAATAATCCGTGCGCGTTTGGAATATTAGTCAAAGGACAGTCCAATATTTAACTTATCTAACTGAACAGCCATGTGATATGGAGAACGAATCTGAAAAGACACAATCATTTGAATTCTATTTATTTTATCTGCAGTTCAATACCTGGTGTACGTATATCAGTACTTCAAAGAGTGGCGTAAGAACCCGCAATGGTCCATCTCGTGCTGCTTGGCCGTGCTCCTTCCTCTTAATGATTTGCATGGCGAAATTCGCGGTATGGTTGGAAAGAACATGCTTAAAGCACAGCTTCAGACAAGTATGATTAGAAAACCTTCCATTGCAAAAGACCGTGGAGCTCTGAGTTTCACTCTGTCTCGAGAAGAACGTAGAGGTAATGACGAGAATACAACAAATTCACTTGAGCAAAACTTGATGGTAAAGAAACATCGCAAGTACCGCCGAATAATGAAGAATGACCATGGGACACAAACAGAGGCCACTTCGCCACCGATTCTTACTTCTCGCGGGTTATTGGAACCAGCATACATCTCTGTGAGTACTGAATATTGTTTCTTTACCAAAATGGTCTATGTTGTAATCAGGTAATTTAGTGTTAACAACTGAGTAGAAAACGTAAATTGGCCACCGTAAAGAGTTAAAAAGCTGACCTTTCGAGCGTTAGCCCTTCACAATCGCTCTGACGAGGGGCTAACACTCGAAACGTCAGCCTTTTAACTCTTTACGGTGACCAATTTACGTTTTCTACTCAGTTGTTAACACGGTACCTGCTATACGCTCCCACCGACGCAGCACCACAGTTTCTTTAGAAACTTACCTCCTTTATTTATATGTTGTAATCAATTGTACATAGTAGGTTGACATGTGTGGCATTCATTAGGAACTTCGTTTTTATTTACGCTGTGACAAAATACATTTTAATACCGATTAGAAAACAAAATTTTTACGAAGAGTTACTCAAAAAGGGGAACAAGAAAGGCGAAACTAGCGAAGTCACACTCACCATGTGTGCCCCACGAAATGCTTGCGGGAAATGTTTGGTCTGACGTCAACATTCCATATTTTGTTTATGTTGAGACACCCTAAAAAGGACAAAGGACGCACTCTATCTTTGCAAATGCAGAGCCAAGCATACAATTCTAATAACAGCGATGTTGGCCTCCTATATTTATCAATCGCGCATGATATTTCAGTAAAATATATATTGTCCTTTTTCTAGCTCATTTTACACAACTGAGTGCATTTTGACAAAGGATATTTTACTCATACTAAGATCCTGGATCCTTTTGTTTGTGAGTCTTCAGCTAAAAATAAAAATAAAAAATAAATTGGTTAACATTTGTGACGCAGGACGGTCCGTCCTTCCATTCTTCCGTCAGTTCATTTATTTATCGGGTATCCATTTCACCGCGGTACAGTAGCTGCTACGTGATTTATTTTTATTTTCTTAGACGTCATTCCTTATATTCTATAATTTTAAACTTCTCCCCTTTCAGTTCGACACAGCCCTCTAAACATCAGCTCGTCACCGGCTGAACCCGAGAGTGTCCCATCAGCAATATGGAAGGAACGAAATTTACATAGGAATGCTGTAGAGTCTCGATTAATGGTCGAGTTTCAAAGTTGAAGTTGTAATGTTTAACTCTAAGGTCTCTTAAACGTCACGTAGCAGCCATGACTAGTTAAAATAACTTTGTATGCAGTTAGGCAGCTGAAATCTTGAACAAAAACGCTTCAACCTTGCTGTAACTATCATCTAAGCCCTTTGAACAGGGACAAATATTAATTTAGGTCCTCTTTCTCTTTTAAATCCGACAGCATTACGTCGACAAAGGGACGTGCGCTACTCCTGAACAATTTTGATTGCTAAATAGAAGCTACATTTTTATTCACACTCGTTCATAAGCTATTTCATCACTTAGCGTTATAAGCTTAGACAGTTCGAAGAAAGTATGTTAAAAGTTAGCATGAGTAATTTCGATGAGAACAAACAATTAGTGAAACGTTTTTGTAGATAAGGCTTTCCGAAAGGAATTGTGTGACACTACATTGGAATATTTAGAGGGAAAAGAAAAAAAAAATTGGGTTAGCACTTGCGCTTATGTTTCATCTTACGTGCGCTGAAACCAACTTTCATTGTGTGTTAAGGAAACTATTCTTTCCTTCTGTTTGTTTAGACGTTTATTTATTTATTCAGTCATTTATTTATCTATCTTAAGGCAATTAGAAAAATAAAAAACTCAAATAATAATTGACCGACGTAAGTAGAATGCTGCGTCAAATGTGTGCTTAGTCGGCGAAAGATGATTGTTTCGTAGGGTCAACCACATCATGATCCCGTTGCCCTTGGATATCCGTCAGGATGAACTTATGAAAAAAGCGTTTTCGGAGGGTGGTGGGGGGTTTGAGGCGCAGAATCCTTCAATATGTGGCTCGCTTTTTCTCTATGATCGTAGAAACTGAACACAAGCTGAGTTCCAAAGAAAATTAAACTAAGAAGATTTTGGTTTTTAACTAGCTAAAAGGGAACGTAGTAACAGAAGCTAAACAATAATGACCTTGTGCACATTTCTGCTAGAGTAAGGGAATCAAGACTTAAAAAAACAGGATTTTCTTTTGAAAATACGACCGAGTAGAGGTTTTTAGGATCAGCAACGTTAAAAAATATATATATCAATAAAAAACTATTTCGTTTTTACTAGAAGTTCTCTCCTCCTCCTCCCCCGCGAGATGAGTTTGCCATTATCATGTAAACGGTTGATTGAATTTTTCAAAGAAATAAGTGAAGAATAAGCTCTTCCAGGGTAACTCAGGGGTTTGGTTATCTCGGCTATTAATACAATATGTCCGGTTTGTACAGACTGAGCAATAAATTTGGTATCACTATTCGCAAGATATTATAAAAAGTTGGATATCAGCGTACTATTTGTTACTCGTAGCATACAAATTATACTTTTTGCGTGGGGATGTTTAATACATTTACAGCAAGTTACCAATTTGCTGTTAGTAACAGGTGATAGTCGCCTGTATAAAATACACGTGGAAAAATGGTTAATTGTCGTCTACTGACAGCTAGACATAAAAGAGTCTGAAAAGTTGAATTTCTGCTGCGATAATGGAAACTTAAAAAAGGCTTCACACAACGCCGTTAATTAAAAACTCACGTCAAAAGCTTATTTTCGTCCAATCGTGTAAAACTGGCTTTTGTTGCGGAAACACTTTCACGGTCATCAATAACATTCATTCACGGGCTTGAATCACCAAGCTGGTGACATTAAGTGCAGGGTCATTCTTTTGAAGACCTTTTTTTTAACTCGTCAAGATGTTGTTTCATTTTACCAGCAAAAGGCCTTTCCTTTAAGATTAGTTGAAACGGAATTCAATTGCGCCCGGTAACGTGGTTTGAAAATATATCTTTCAAACAGGGTTACATAAAGAATGATAAAGAATTGAGTGTATAACTCTCCCTGAATGGATTGAGCACCAGTTATGCAATATAATGACGGGTTAGCGCATCTCTTTGCAATAACATAGGAGTCCATTTTTCTCGCAGGACATTTAAGGCATCTTTTATTATTGCCGAAGATTAAATTTCTATCCCAAGGATTAAGCCTTTCTCTCAAAGGCTCTCAAATTAAGATTAGTAATAGACACAAGATAAAAGACGTAATGAATGCCTCCATTTCGATTCATTTCATCTCAAATAATTCTTAAGGCAATTTTCATATTTGAGTGCCTCGCGTTTTTCTTAGGTTTTCGTTCTGAAGCTTTCTCGGAAGTAATTTGCGTCAAAATTTGATTACAGTAATGAAAGTTTTCATGCAACATACACATGTTATGCTTTCTTCTCCTTTTTTTATGGTTATTGATCTAACAATGAATAGATGTCGCAACAAATTTTAAGGAATTTCTAACAATCGTGACCGATGATAAGTTTCTCTTCTTTCTCAACCATTAGTGCCATTCTTTACCTAAAGGTGAAAATTCCGTCGACTTTTGTCGAAACCGTCCTTCGCAGACAAATTCAAATGTTGCCTACCTAATTTTGCTCGGAGCTTAATTACAAGGAAATTAAACAAAGGTACAATTATTTGTTTAAACGAAGAAGAGAAAGTTTCATCACCAACGCGACTGGACGAAATTTTTCCCGAAGGTTAAGTCAAGTGAACACGGAAAGTGACTCTCATCAAGTTTTAACCAAAATGAAATTTTTTTTCTCAGTAGACGGCTTTCTTGGAGTTAAGTTTCCACCAGACACTCATGTATATTCAGCAGTCTCGTTCTATTATCGAGTAACGTAATATGTCGGTAGCTAGGATTGAAGAATAATGGGAGGCAGTTACGCATTATGCGACAGATCAACGACCCATCGACAGTTGTTTCTTAACTTCTATCTTTAAAATTTTCCGACGAAAGTTGTCTCGTGTAATCACTCCTCGTCATCCGTGGATTACTTTCCGACATTTAGCAATGCTAAAACGTATTTGCGTTTCGTGCACGAATGACAGTGCTTTCATTCTATTCACAATGCTCTGAGCCTTGAATTCCATAGAGAAATGACAAATTCAATTCCGCCATTGTATCCGCAGACAATTAGATACTCGGTATCCAGTTTCTGGGGCATTCATGAAACCACTGAATAATTCATTGTTTGGCAATTAGAAGGGAAAACAATGCACAAACTATGTGGTCTTATTGTGTGTTCATTTCGGGTTGGGCAATAACACAAATGTAACACTGTAGCCAAATTACATCACTCGACGACCTTTCAGAATTATATATACATTCGCTCGTTTCACCTTGAAAGGTTCGTGGCGCTGAGTTGCCAGGATACGCTGCAGTGCGTGTTTAGGGGGGAGGATTTTTTACAAAGCTCTTATTGACTAAAGGTCTGAAACACTCAAACGCTCCATTTATTGCGTAGATATGTGAAACTGGGTTGCCATATTAACTCATAACAAATTCCTCTGAGAGTTTTCAACTAATTCGACTGTCTTGTGTAAGTGGACGGCCGCTGTTGTTTACACGACTTAGTAAGATCTGACAGGACACACAGAAACTATTTTGACACCGGACCAATCATGACGCTCGTATACAAAGGCTCTTGAAATTCTCGAATGTAAAAAAATAACTTGAACAAAAGCTTGCCGTCAGTCAACTTTGTCGCGTCAAGAGGTACCACACTCAGAGTCGAGTGCACATCGCGACAACCGCTTATCGATTTCAAGAGATTTTCAAGTGTGTCTGAAAAGATATGGCAGACACCTCCTTCGCGATCCAACAGTCCATGTCTGAGAGGAAGCCCCCTCGCATGCCTAAGTGCGCCCGTTGTCGCATCCACGGTATGGTGTCATGGTTGGTTAAAAGGGCACAAGCGATATTGTAGGTGGAGAGATTGCAACTGTGCAGCCCGTGTACTCGTACCACCGCGCTGACAGTCAAGGTAAGTGAACCATAACACTGTATTTCAAACGTCTTACTTCATCATTGTTCATTATTTTTTCCTCAAGAAAATGCAATTTCGATTCGCGCGC